AACCCATGCTGACTGTTCCTAATTACCTTTTTACCCTCCAAGTGCTTAGAAATAGATTCCTTGAGGACCTGCTCCATGATTTTTCCAGGGATTGAGGTGAGGCTGACTGATCTATGCTTCCCTGGATCCTCCTTTTCCCCTTTCTTAAAATGGGCACTATGTTTTCCCTTTTCTAATCATCTGGGACTTCTCCTGATTGCCATGAGTTTTCAATAATGATGTCCAATGGCTCTGCAATCACATCAGCCAGCTCCCTCAGCACCTTTGGGTGCATCCCATCTGGACCCATGGACTTGGACACATCCAGCTTTTCTAAGTAGTCCCTAGCCTGTTCCTTCACCACTGAGGGCTGCTTACCTCCTCCCCAAACGGTGCTGCCCAGTAGTCTGGGAGCTGACCTTGCCTGCGAAGACTGAGGCAAAGAAGGCATTGAGCACTTCATCCTTTTCCGCATCCTCTGTCACAAGGTTGCCTCCCCGTTCAATAAGAGACCTACACTTTCCCTGATCCTCCTTTTGCTACTGACATACTTGTAGATACCTTTCTTGTTGCCATTCACATTCCTTGCTAGCTGCAACTCCAATTGTGCTTTGGCCTTCTGATTTCATTCCTGCATGCCCGAGCAATGATCTTATATTCTTCCCTAGTTATTTGTCCAAGTTTCTACTTCTTGTAAGTTTCCTCTTTGTGATTTGGTTTACTGAAGTTCCCCGCTAAGCAAAGCTGGTCTTCTGCCATACTTGCTAGTCTTCCTGCGCACCGGAATGGTTTGTTCCTGCACTCAAAGTCCGGCTTCCCGGGGGATCCTACCCATTGGTTCCCTGAGCAAGTTGAAGTCAGCTTTTCTGAAGTCCAGGGTCCTTACTCTGCTGCTCTCCATCCTTCCTTTCCTCAGGGTCCTGAACTCAATCATCTCATGGTCACTGCTGCCCAAGTTGCCATCCATTGCTACATTCCCCACCAATTCATCCCTATTTGTAAGCAGCAGGTCAAAAATAGCATGGCCCCTAGTTGGCTGCTCCAGCACTTGCACCAGGAAGTTGTACTCAATACTCTCCAAAAACTTCTTAGATTGCCTGCTCATTGCTGTATTGCCCTCCCAGCAGATGTCACAGTGATTTAAGTCCCCCATGAGAACCACGGCCTGTGATTGGGAAACTTCTGCTAGCTGTTTGAAGAAAGCCTCATCCACCACTTCCTCCTGGTTTGGTGGTCTATAGCTGATCCCCACCACAACATCACCCTCATTGCTTTCCCCTCTGACCCTAACCCAGATACTCCCAATAGGCTATCTCCAGCTTCATACTGGAGCTCTAAGCAATCATATGGCTCTTTTACATAAAGTGCAACTCCTCCTCTTCTCCCCTGTCCTTCCTGAACAGTTTGTATTCATCCATGACAGTGCTCCAGTCATGCGACCTATCCCACCAAGTCTCTGTTATTTCAATCACATCACAGCTCTGTGACTGTGCAAGGACTTCCATTTCTTCCTGCTTATATCCCAGGCTCCGTACATATGTGTACAGGCACCTGAGGTAACTAGTTGATTGTCCTGATTTGATATAACCTTCTTTAAAGGGATCAGAAAAGCAAACAAGTGCTTGTGCTCATTTACATTTTGTGATGAAGCAACTTGATCTCCCCACACCTTCCATCTCCCACAATGAGAGCAGGTGCCTTGCACGCACTTCTCTGCAGTTTCATCACATAGCCAGTAGGCACTTACAGCATGTCACCTGACCACATTCCCCTCAGATTTCTGCCCATGAACAAGCCAACGACACCCAACATCTTACCGCTTCCCAAACCCAAGCCACCTACTCCACAGAACAGCAGGACCACAGTATTTACCTAGAATGTTCTGACCTACTCTTCAGAAATCCATCCCTCTAACAAAGCTCTCACATCAACAGAAAAAATATCTGCCTTGATGATGCCTGCTCTATGAAGGGAGGCTAGTAATAGGTCCAGGCTCAAAACCACCTCATTCAGCAGTCCATGAAGCACTGGACTAAAACAAGACCATATAAAGGAAGAACATGTGGGTGCAGAGTTAAACTTGTTGCAGTCCCTTAATCTTGCAATTCCATACTCTCATATGTTTATTCCTGCAGGTTTTTTCTATTGAAGCTTCACACAAAATGGAACTAGTACTTCCCTTCTCTCACCCTTGGTCTGTCTTCTCTATTTAGATGGCAAGTTCTTTGATTTTTTGAAACAAGCACTGTGCCTTATTAGGTGTTTGAGCAGACTAACAATGGAGACTTGATTTTGGTCTGTACCTCTAGGGCCAGTGGTCCCCAACCTTCACTGCCCCTTGTGAAATATTATAATTTATTCTTCCTGTCAACTTCCAGCTTAACTTTAAAATTCCAGTGGCTAAAAGAAATGTCAGAGAGTTTTGTGGGCAGCAGGCACCCTGCAAGATTGGGTGCCTATGCCACAGACAGAACTGGATATAAATAGTTACGGTTATTTTAGCTCTGAAATTCCTTCTAACACTTGCTTCCTGCCACGCTCCAATACTGTGCTTCAATACTGAAGAAACCAGTCACCCATAGCAATATACAGTACAAGGTTTGCCAGCATATGGCTTGGGAACTAACCTGAAAAGTAAGGTGGAAATTTCTATATTTAAGTGCTGGGGGGTGGAGAGAAACCCTGCTTCAAGTGAAAATCTGAAATAGTGCAAAAAAATCTGATAAGAGTTTCAAAACAGGCTGAATTGGTGTCATACAGCTACACCCATGATCAAATTGCTTTTATTCCATTATCACCTTTTAATATGCGGCAGGTAGTGATTCTTTGCTCAATATTGACAGTCATGTGCATAGCAGCACCACTTCAAGTCAGTAGGAGTATTCATGGAGCAAGTGGTCCACAGTAGGCCAAGCTCCAAACTCCTTAATCATGAGGGCTTACATTTTACTCTGCAAGTAGATCTACTGGGATAAGTCAAGCTTCTCTGTGTTACGGGGCCATGCAATCTACATAAGGCAGTGGTCTCCAACCTTTTTAAGGTGAAGATCACTTTTTGAAGTAAAGGGCAATCCAGGATCTACCACGCCCCAAGCTGGTCTTTGCACCCCAAGCCCTGCTGCACCTTGGGGCTTGGGGCACAAAACTCAGGGCACAAAGCCCAGTGCACAGCAGCAGCTGCCTTGCCCCACACACAGATTGGGGGGAACGTGCCCCCTGGGCTTTCATCGGGGTGCGTGCAACAGCAGGAGCCCAGGCTCCTACTCTCCCCAAACCCAGCCCAGCTGGGGCCCCACTCACCTGGTGGCAGGGAGCACAGAGCAGGATTGTCCCACTCACCCAACCCAGCCCCGGCAGCAGGGGATGCAGCTCAGCTCAGCCTTGTGCATCCCACTACTCCCAGACTGTGCCCTGACCACTCCCAATCACGGAGCTCCTGACAGCAGCCTCCCCCTAGACTGAAATCAACTGTCAGGGGCTCCCCAATTGATCAGTCAATCAGGATCGACCAACTGGTGATCACTGGCATAAGGGTATAAAACTCTGCTCCAGTACAAGTAACATATTATGCATTTGTCCCATTGACTGGGACTCAAGGGATTTGGCATGAGATGCTGCCCCACTCTTACATACATTCAAGTTATATGCTACTCCTCCAGGTATCCTGTATACCCCAGCTGGTTCTGTACCTCCTACAGTACCACTTAGAGTGAAAATGGTGCCAATATTTGACTATAGATCTCTCTACTTCTAAACCTTTGGAAACTAATTCAAACTGTAGAAAACCCCTCAGCCAGGGCATGTTATATATTGGATGGTTAAGCAGACTATCACCCCAGGAGCTGTTCATTGTGATCATCATTCCAGCGGAGGGATGGTGAGACAGTTTGGTGCCAGGGCTGGTAAATTTCCAGGCAGATTTTGCAAGAAAGGGCTGCTCTGCAAAGGTCATGCTCCAATACACAGACTCACTCCAAGTACCATAAGCAATGCATTTGTAGCCTTGAGGAGATCAATGACAACACAGCAAGGGTCTATGCAATGTGAATACAGGGACTGCAGACTGGGCCTAAGCAGATCATTCAGGTGCACACAACGACCCCTCATATATCTGAGGATAACCTCATTTCGAAGGTTTCCCTGTGGCTCATAGAGGTGCACCAAAGTACATAAGGAGGGTCTCATACTCCATTGAGTGGGAGAGGACCAGGCTGGCACCCTTTAGGGGACCACCTCCCTTCCCCCTCACTTCTTGTGTCTGTACCTCATACTGCTGCCTGGCTCTGACACAACACTCATGGAAGGTCGTACAGACCAGCTCCTGGCTGGCAGCACACCACAGCACAGCACAGGGGCCACATGGGGAAAAGCACCAGGGATACAAGTGTTCATACCCACCCACTTCTCTCTCCTCTCCCCTGCCCTCAGCTCCACCTGCTCCCATTCATAAATCTATCCATGCCTTCCCTAAGTAATGCATCCCTGGATCTTCCTATTGCAACACCACCACCTCCTTGTCATCTACAGCTCCTGGTCCTTTCCCCTGCCTTTGCATTCCTTCCCATCTCCTGCAGGCCCCTACAGCTATACGGACCATAGGGATTAGCAAAGGAGAGCAAAACTGAACCATCACTCAGGCTGCCCCACAAACACGCAACATCATCCTCAGTGGAAGAGGCAGGACTGCATTTATAATAGCACAGAACCACCCTGTCCTTAGTGTACAGAGGCCAGGGAATAGTGGGAGAAAATGACAGAGTTTCATGAAGGGAGCCAGCCACATGGTGAAGTGGCTGGTCTCCCACTCTTCTGTCATCTGTTGAATGTGACTTAGCAAAGATAAGCAAATGAGGGGACGGGGTGGGGGGACTAGCTATTCCCAGCCAAGTCTTAACTGTGGAAAGCAGCAAAACCCAAGAAAGTCACAGCTGCTGCTGCCTCTTTTAGTCCAAGTCTGCACTGTGCACCAGTGCTGCCTGAGCTCCCAGCCAGCAACAGCCCAACAGCAAAGCTGCACTTACCTCTGGATGCCAGTGAAGGTTAGGGCCAAGAAACCTTTCAGTCCAAGCTAGGTGCTGTTCTGAGCTTCACAATCAGATGTGCAGCATCTCAGCATAGATTGGAGGTTTTATGGGCTGGATTAGGATAGGAAAAGGAGTCATGAACAAGTCAGACAAAACAAGTCCAACAAGTCTTGGTGACAGAAGCTTTACCTGCAGTATTGTTTCAGGGAAGGAATCATAACAAACAGTGCATCACGCCTTTCATCCAGGAATCCCAGTGCCTCCTGAAAGCATTAATTACACATGGCAACACCCCTCCATCACAATAGACTTGATATTTTTGTAAGGAAGCAAAACTAATTTCCTTCTCCTGGGCTAACGAGAACTAAACCAGAAATAAATGGGCAGCACCTAGTGAGGAGAACGACAAGGAAGAGTTAGGATCCTGCAGAGGTAACATTGAGATTCATGGCCAGATCCAGAGCTGATGTAAAATGACATGGTACCAAATGATTTTAGTGGAGTCATGTCAATTTACATCAGGCAAGAGCGACTCCAATAAAGCGATGCAACTTTGCCAGCCAAAGGTATAGTTATACTGAAGTTAGTAGAAAATCAGCGATTAAGTTTAAGTCAGGTCTCAGAAAACTTTCTTTTATAAAGTTATAACCAATGCATGCAAATCACAGGGATCTGGATTTATAACTGTGTTGATTAAGTCATATTAACTAGTGGTCAATCAGCTTGAATTAAAAAAATGAGGACACATTTTAGACTAAGCTAACCTTTCTAAGCCTTTGCTGGTTGGCAGCTTTTTGTTCAACATCAAAAATGTTCACAGAACCACTACATTTCCTAAAAAAGGAAAAATCAGACATGTATTCACATCTGGAAGTCAAGTGTTTGTTTCAAGAAGCAGAAAGAAAATATTCAACCTGAAAAACAACCCGGAGGGAATGAAGATTTTCTTTGCTTTAGGTTGTAATCAAGTTTTCAGTGCTTTGGGGCCTGCCTTGGGGTCAAGGTACATCAGCTGAGGAATTTGCTGGTCTAGACAAACCTTGGATAAATAAAGCTCTTTCTGCTGGATTATATTAAACCAGTATCTCTCTCTGCTGTTAGGGTCACCATGTTGCTGTAGTAGCTATCTTTTTTTGGATATCATATTATAGAAATCTTAGATAAACTAAAAGAGCAAACACTCCATCCCGACCCCTTGGGATGCTTAAAAGTCCCAGAAAAGCAATCTCTGATATGTTTAGCCTACTTCAATGAACTGTATTCATTCTGTCCAAGATTTCCCCAGGAATTTCAAATGGACATTATATTCTGCTTCAAGCTATATTATAATTTCTGTCTGTTGTTAAACAGCTGCCAGTATCCAGCGGAGGCTGCATTCCTCCTGCAGCGATCAAGTGAATCTTTAAATACAAGTACATGGCCCAATTCCTTAGCTTTATTTGGTTAATACTCTTGTTACTCTATTGTCTTCAGAAGATTTATTCCCAATTACTCTCACTGCATGTGAATCAGTTCATAAACTGCAGTGTGGTTCTTCTTGGTGAAGATTGCTAGTTACACTGTATGTAAATCATTATTGGTGACAGAGAGAGCAGTGACCTACAGGTAGATCTGTGGATTCATGGCTGCAGGTGACAGAGGAATTAGGATTATCCTTTGGGAGCCATAAGAGCCTCCACCTAATCAACAGAAAGAAAAAATGAGCAGACAGCACCCTGGAAAGGACACAGGGCAGACAGTTGTCTTGGTGGATTCTGGGGAGGTGAGTTCCTTGCCCAAATAGGGACACTAAATTGATTATTTTATATCAGCTGAGCTCCTGGCAAAATCATACCAGCCAGGATGCTACTGGACACAAGCCTGGAGCATGGTGGTGGGTGGTGACCCAGTGCATCTTGTATGCTGCTAAGAGCACTGGTGGTGTTTAAACCGTAATGGGCAAGATGTAGCAGGAGATAGTTCCATCTCTGGCTCTGCTACTGATGAGCAGTGTGACTTCCGGCTGGTCATTTCACCTCTGACTGCGTCCGCTCCCATCTTCTAGCTTTTCCTCTGTAAGGCAGCAGGACAGAATCAAACTAAACTGTCAAGCCTGGGATGAGCAGTGGGTGAATGAAACTCAGCTCCACGCGTCATTCTGAGACAACACTGTGTGAGGAAATATCAAGCACCAAAATCCACAGTTAAACTTGAAGCTCCTGAAGACATGGGACACAAATTCCTTCTCATTCATGCCAGGTCTACATGAGCATTAGCTTCTGTTGTTCCTGCGAGGTAACCTGACATGAAGAAGTTACTCAGAGTTCACAGACATTAGGGCTGGAAGGGACCTCGAAAGATCATCGAGTCCGAGAATCTAGCATGCTGCATGGCTATTTACAGGGTCCCGATCCCATTTCCATCTGCCCTACACCCTGGACAGTCCTACACTGGGTGTAAAACTCCAGGTTGATTCAACAGGTGTTTGAACCTACCCCACTCACAGGTATAAATGGATGCACGGCAGCGGAAAGGACCAGGCCTACATCCTTCCTTAGTAGATGTATGCTGTTAACCTTGTCCTGCTGCCTTTATCAATGTCTGTTATAGGTTTCATTACTTTGCCCATCAGATTTGATTGATTTTGAAAGAGAAGCAGAGAGAATGGGGCTGGCGGAAAGCTAGTAGGTGCTTGTTACTCTCATAGACTCAGGGCATTGCCACTTTTATACACGCTTCATTGGAACATTAGCAAAGAACAAAAGAAGAGGTGTCCACAAGTGGAAAATGGACAGATAAACACACCCCTACCCTGGGGCAAAGCCAAGTATTTCCTGCTCTTCAAATCAGACGAGCTGCTTAAACTGAGGGCTCCCTGGGCTTGATTCTGCTTTCAAATGAAAGCAACTGGTGTTTTGCGATTGACTACAATAAGAGAAGGGGCAAGGTATTACAGAGATAGAGCAGACTATGCTCCGATTTCAATGGTGTGCACCAGAGGGACAATACAAAGAGCCTTTCCTATTCTTGGGCAGCCTGTAACGAGGCCAGACCCTGGCTCCACTGAATGGCGACTGTGGTAAAACTCTTTAATTTCAATGCATCCAGAAGTTCATGCCAGGCATTTAGAAGAGGAGGGCAGAGGCTGGTCCCCGCAACCTGGCAATAAACAGCGAGTAAGCTACATCCTTTGCGCAGTGGCAGATGTGATCCCTGGATAAGCCAGGCAGTTCACAGAGGAACACCCTAAGGCAAAATTCCTCTGGGCACCCCTAGGGGTGGTGCCAATCTCCACCCAACCCAACACTGGGCTACGCCTCACAGTACAGGCAGATGAATAGCAAATCAAAAACAAAAAAGAGATGGGATTTAAGCCAGCAGGAGATCTCCAAACAAAGCAGCAGAAGGCTGCTAGCCTTCCTCAAAGCAAAAATTCCATTAGCTTCCCTTGAAGATGTAGGACTGCAGGATTCAGCATCCCCCGACAATTCTGGGCTGTAAAAACTGACAAAAAGAAAGGAAATTTAATACGGTTTCAATTTATCAGGCAACTTCTCCAAACAGCCAGCGTTTCTGGGCGCATCTACATGAGACATTTACTATGTAGTTGACCAATTAACTGCGCAGGAAATGTTTCAGCATCTACACGTGAGTCCCTATTAGGGCACATGAAACTAATAAACTAATAAATAAAAGTCCTACTCTGCTGAGGAGTTTTTTCAGCTCAGCAGTGCACGTGTAGATGCTGCCCTGGCTAGCTGGGGCACAGGGCTAGCTGGCAGGCAGCCCCTGAGCTGAGGCACCCTGGGCCCCTGCCAGCTACTCCGCAGTATGTGGAGATGGGAGAGCAGCCAGCCCCCCCCGGCTAGTCTGGCTGCTCCCCCATCTCCACATGCCTCAGTGGGGATTCCACAGTACATGGAGATGGGGAAGCAGCCAGCAGCCAGCCACCCTGAACTGGATGCTCCCCCATCTCCATGTGCCATTCTGTGGCTGGCTGGGGCGCAGTGTGGCTCAGCACAGGGACTGCCTGCTACCTAGCCCCTGTGCTGAGGCACTCTGTGTCCCATCCAGCACCCTGGAGTACATGGAAAGTGCTCAGAATGGCCCTGGGCTGGCAAGCTGATCCTGCTTTGACAGGGCTCCAGGTGGCAAGCACGAATAAACTCCACAGCAATTTGCTTGGCAGTTTTTTATTCCTGGGCACACATTCAAATGGTGTGCCTAGAAGCAAAAAACTCTGGATAAATAAGCTCCATATTTTTTGGTCCATATTTATTGTACATGTAGACACACACTCTGCCAACTGCCTTCCAGGCTGTGATGAATCCTCAGTGCAATCCACTAACAAGAGTTATATTTCACAGGTCAGCAAGGAGTGCTGACCAGGGGGTTGCTTGCTGCCTCTCGGGGTGGGTGCCATAGAACTAGAAAGGGTTCAGAGATCTGCTACACATATTAGCAAGGGGCCTACACTGTTTTTATATGTGGAAGGACTGAAGAGGTTGTGGCAGCGTAACTCCAAAGGGATAGTCGAGGGAAATGACAAACACACCAAGTAATGAATGGGTTAGAAAAGGTCTTTCAGTAACATTTTCTCTGTCTCATAAAAAAAAATGCTTAAGGGCTATTCAGCAAAATTTTCCAGGTGGAGAATTTCTCCCTGAGAAAAGTTCATCAGGGAGTCTATCTGCGATAAGCTTGCAGAAGGCAAGATTCTGAATGACAGCCAGCATGGCTTTGTCGCGGGCAGGTCTTGTTTACCAACCTCATCTCCTTCTATGACCAGATAACTCGCCACCTGGACATGAGAGAGCAGGTTGACATTGTATACCTGACTTCCAAAAGGCCTTTGATCTAGTATCCCATGATGTCCTTGTGAGAAAATTGGAGGATTGTGGGCTTAACTCTGAGAAAGTCAGGTGGGTGAGAAACTGGCTGCAAGATAGGACCCAAAGAGTCCGTAGTGAACAGATCTGTGTTATCCTGGTGAGAAGTGGGCAGCGGCGTCCCACAGTTGTCAGTGCTTGGCCCAATACTTTTCAACTCTTTATTAACGATTTGAATGTGGGGGTGAAGAACTTGCTGACCAAGTTCTCAGACAACACCAAGTTATTGGGAAGCATAGTCATGCTTGAAGATAGGCTACAGATACAGGTGGACCTAGACAGGCTAGCAAGTTGGATGGATCAGAATCTGATTAAGTTCAACTCTGAGAAATGTAAAGTGCTCCACCTTGGAACGAGCAACCCCCAACACACCAACAGGCTTGGCAGCACCAAACTGACCAGCACCACGAATGAAAGGGGCCTGGGGATAATAATAGACCACAGTATGAACATAGGCCGGCAGTGTGATGCTGTAGCCAGCAAGGCAAATAATAATCTGGCATTTATCAATTGATTCATCTCCAGCAAAACCAAGGAGGTGATTCTCCCACTCTACTCAGCACTGGTGAGACCATAGCTGGAGTACTGTGTTTAGTTCTGGGCACTTTAACAAGGAGGTGGACAAGCTTGAGAGAGTCCAAAGAAGAGCCACCCATATGATCAGAGTCTAACATGACAAGCCATATGAGGAAAGGCTGAGGGATCTGGGACTCTTCAGCCTGAGGAAAAGAAGGCTGAGAGGGGACCTGGTAGCAGCTTACCACTACACTAGGGGAGTACATCAAGGGCTCAGTGAGCAACTGTTCACCCCAGCACCCGAGGGGAAAACTAGAAGTGATGGCCAGAAACTCCTGGAAGACCGATTCAGGGTTAACATTAGGAAAAATGTCTTCACAGTCAGGGTGTCCAGACTGGAATAAGTTCCCTCCAGAGGTGGTGTTATCATCTACCCTGGAAATCTTCAAGAGGAGACTGGACAGTCACCATGCTGAGCTCATCTGACCCCCAGTTGTCTTTCCTACTTGGTACAGGGGGCTGGACTTGATGATTTTCCAAGGTTCCTTCCGGCCTTATTCTCTATGAATCTATGAATTCACAGATTACACACAGATTAGTAGAGATACTTTCATGCAATGTCATAAGATTGAACTGTGCAGTGCATTGCCACACAAAGACAATGAGGTCATGAACAAGATCCAAAACAGGATAGGCTGCTTACTAGGGCTGTGCGAAATGGCACCGTTCCGTTTCACCTTGAGTTTCGATGGTTTGATGGAACAGTGTTACGTATCAAATTTGATTTTGAGTCGAAACAGTTGTTCTGTTCTGTTCTGTTCCATTCCATCTGTTTTGCGTTTTGCTGGGGATGGGCAGTCAACCCAGCTGGGCTGACTGCCCTTCCCCAACGCTAGATCCCACCTGGGGCGAGAGGCAGCCCAGCTGGGCTCCTTTCCTGTCCCCCATGATACAACACGGTGGCAGCAGGAGACAGCCCAGCTGGGCTGCTTTCCCATCCTCCACACTACATCACACCTCTGCTTGCTCTGGGGGGCTCCCATCTTTCTTGGAAACAACTGATTCTTGCCAGTCTCAGACAGGACCTTGGTCTGTTCCCACCTACAAACTCCTATTTTTCTGAAATGGGCTTAAAACAAGGCAATCCATGTCATCTATGCAAGTCTGAGAATGGCAACCAGACTATTTGAAAGACTCCAACTTAGGCTGGAATTGTGACTGATGAAAGAGAGTGATGATCTTGCCTGGTACATCTGCACTGAGAAGGGAGTGAAGGTGGAGTATTCTTTTACTCATTTATCTGGGTGACACTTAAATACACTGGGTTACACAGACAAAGTACAGAATGAAAGCACATTATTTGACATCTGGGATCAGGGGAACAAAGAATGACTCCATTCACTGATCTCTCAGAGACAAGGCGGATTTTACTCTCAGATATTTATGGTACTCTCTACAGATACATTTGTGGCATGAAAGACAGTAGGGGCTAGGATCTATATTAAGACTAATCAAAACAACATTGGTATAGTGCCTGCAACATATTCATATTATTAGGGATTTCAAATATATCTAAATACTGGGTAGCTATGGTTGTATTTACTCAAAACATGGCAGTATTTCCTTTTCTGAATTATGGAATCACATTCTTTGTACATGTACATGATTGTGTATAACAAAAGAAACAGTGTAAGCATATTATACAAGTTATAACAACAAAAAGGTAATAAAGTTGGAGTGTTATATTTCAAGATAAATGCTACCTTGACATTTCTAGTCAATTTTCTTTAGAAACTGTAGTTCTTAGATTTCATAATCTCATCAAAAGAATTGTTTTCCTGTACTTGTCTGTGCATGATCTTGGCCTTCTGTTGAGAAAAAAAAGCAAAAAACAAAAAATACCCCTTTAAGTTGGAAGGAATATACAGATTTTTCAGAACAGTAGCTTAAAATTAAGTTTCTAGGCCATTATAAAGGATCTTAAAATGAGGTTCCTAAAAATATCAGGTGAATTTTTAAGAAGTGTTGCAGACCCCATGAGAATGGCCTTCTATGGCTTGCACAAGGTTCTTTGAGTAGATGTGATATCTTTTACTAGACCAACTGAGTAGTTGGAAAAAAGTTCTTTGCAAGCTTTCAGGTGCAATCACCCTTCTTCAGGCATGGGGAGTCTCTGCTGTTCTGAGATCTCCAAGGGGTTCCTTGGCGATCCAGTGAAGGAACTTCTGGGCAAGGAACCTTGCCTGCCTATGTCCTTAGACCAACATGGCCACAACCAAAACCCCAGCTTCTCTGGCTTAATTTTTCCAAAGAACTGCGTGTGTAACCAGAGTCTCCAGAGTATTTAGATGTGAAAAAATGTAGAAATGCCTTCTCTCTCCCTGGGGATTTCCACTTGTGATATATTCAAATGTGTCTCAGTGAATTAGACAGAATCATTTTAAAAAAGGGTTGGACCTCAGGCGGACATCTAGTCTAACCCCTTGTTCAAGCAGGATCATCTCTGATTAAGTCATCCCAGACATGTGTTTGTCTAAACTGCTCTTCAGAATTTCTTGGGATGAAAAATGTCCTCTCTGGATAACCTGATCCAGTGAGAAAGTTCTTCCTAATATAAGTTCTAAATTTCCCCTGATGCAATTTGAAATCATTGCTCCCAGTTCTGTCTCCTGTAGCTACAGAAAACTAGAGGTGTACAAAATGGGCCCTATTCGATTCGGATTCAGCCTGAATCGGGCACAGTGATTTGGTTCGTTGATTTGGATCACTGTCCGCGTTTTGATTCAGCCAAATGGGAATCTGAAGATTCGATGCTGATTCAGAGAATCAGCAATTTGGATTTAGACACAGCTTTAAATGTTTTTTTTCTACATACCTTGAGGTACCAGTCATGGCTCGTGAATGCTGCGATGGTGGGGCAGATGGAGCATCCCACAGGAGTGCGGGGGAGGCACTGTGTGCTCAGCGGCAAACCCAGAAGTGGACTGGAAGTACTTCCGGTCCACTTCCGGATCCATCAGAGAGTGTACTGGGGGCCCCACACACTCCCCCAGCTCAGTGATCTGCCACGGGGGGACCCCAGGTGCCCCCCCAGACCTAGGAGGCACCAGTTGCCGAACCAGAGGGTGTGGGGGCCCCCCCCCCCGCATGCTCTCCAGTGGACCTGGAAGTGGGCCAGAAGTGCTTCTGGTCCACTTCTGGATCTGCTGCCAAGCACACTGGGGAGCCCCCCGCACTCCTGTGGGAAGCTCCACGCAACCCAGCATCACAGCATTCACAAGCCACCTGCTACCTAGACTTACATAGAAAAAACATTTAAAGCTGTGTCTATGTCCGAATCTCTGAATCTTTCCAAATTACTCCGAATCAATTCAGAGGGTTCCAATTCAATTCAGAGAGATTAAAGGGTCCTCTGATTTGATTCGGATTCAGAGATTCGGCCACCGAATTGGGCCAAATCTCTGCTGAATTAAATCAGGGACTGAAGCTTTGCACAGCCCTCCTGTCTACCTCCATACTCTCCATAACCATCCTTCAGGTATTTGAACACTCTTATTAAATCTCATGATTTCATCCTCCCACTGTACTCAGCCTTGGTGAGGCTGTAGCTGGAGTACTGCATCCAATTCTGGTCTCCACAATTTAAGAAGGATGCCAAGAAGCTTGAGAGAGTCCAGAGGAGAGCCACACACATGATCAGAGGGCAGGAGAACAGGCCTTATGATGAGAGGCTGAGAGCCATGGGACTCTTCAGCCTAGAAAAGCGCAGGCTCAGGGGTGACCTGGTGGCTGCCTATAAGTACATAAGGAGTGTGCATCAGGATCTGGGGGAATGTCTGTTCACCAGAGCACCCCAAGGGAAAACAAGAACCAACAGTCATAAACTCCTCCGTGTCCATTTTAGGTTGGACATAAGGAAAAACTTCTCTACTGTCCCAGCCCCCAAGGCCTGGAACAGACTCCCTCCAGAACTCATGGAGGCACCTACTCTGGACTCATTCAAGAAATGTTTGGATGCTTATCTTGCTGGGATCCTTTAAGCCTAGCTGATTTCCTTCCGCTGGGGCAAGGGGCTGGACTTGATGATCTTCAAGGTCCCTTCCAGCCCTAATGTCTATGAATCTATGAAATCCCTCTTCAGTTTTCTCTTCTCCAGACAAATAATCCTAGTTCTTTAAGCCTATCCTCCTAAACCATATTTCCTAGACCTCTAATCATCCAAGGGGAGACCATAGGATGAAAGTTATATTCTCCTGCTCTGGCTTTCCTCAAATTTCATGTGGGATCCTCTTTGGCATATATGTCATTCTAAGAGAAGACTAATGCCTAACACCTACAGAGTTAACCTGTTGAGGAACCTTTACCAATCCCACAAGATACATAAATATATTTATGCAGAACACACCATGAATTTGTGCTGCTTTGGGTTTTGGGGGTTTTTTTCTGCATCTCAAATGTAGATTACATCCCTGTCTGGAATACAGGAACAGCAAGACTAGGGCTGTGTGAAGTTTTGGACTGTGACTCAGATTCGGAAAAGATTTGGATGATTCGGAGGCCGAATCTGTAAGTCCAAATCAAATTACTAGCTGCTTTTGGCTTTCCAAAAGGATTTGGAAAAGATTCAGCGATTTGGAGGGCTGTCTGTATGGGGAAACAGAAACTTAGAAGAGGGAAGGGGAGCAGTGCGGGGAAGGGAAGCAGGGTGGGGAAAGACTGACATGTCTAGGTGGCCAGTGAGCAGGATTTCTCTCTGACTGCCCTTCCAATTACAGTGTCTGGGGGGAGGGACATAGAAACAGCATAAAAGCCTCTGTTTGCAGGCTTACTGTGCCTTTTGTGAGCTGTTTCTGTCTGAGCAACAAAATCAGCAAGGTACTGTGCTGCCTGGCTTGCATCATAGTCAGTCAATTGCAACTTGCCTGCTCCTTTTTGTTCTTAGAAAGGACTGGATAGGATTTAGTTTAGCTTAGCTTATTTTAGCTTAGCTTAGAATCGCTCTACTTAATACTATACAATTCATTTCTTTCAATTGATATTTGCTCTCTTTTTTGTGCAAACTTAGAAAAAAGAAAGCTTAGTGTTTTCCCTGCCAGTGTGATCCATCACTGTGCAGGGAAGCACACAGATTGCATGCACACACTTATAATATACACACATAGAAGAAGAAAAATCAGATATTCATAGGAGAAGAAGAGAGATTATATATAGTCGTTATTAGTTATTAATATTATTATAGTTAGTTTACATAGAGACTGTAGACAATACAGAAGTCAGAGATTGAGACTAACACATAACTCAGGGTCTTAGAAGAAGGAGATATATCATTTTAGGTACACATTACAACAGAAGAAGAACAAGAAGTACAGTAGTAGTCACACATTCACATTAATAGAACTTCACAGAAGAAGACACCATATATAGTTATTGATAATCAAAGAAGAAAGAAGAGTCCAGTGCACACAACACAGAGGGAATAAAACACGCAATAGAGTCACACTTCACATTCATAATTCATCGTAAATAATTACATCACAGCAGAGAAGTAGACAGACAGACAGCACACATTTTTACATAGTTCTTAATACTTATTATTACTGAATCAAACAACCAAAGAAGAGTCCAGTGCACACATGCACAGCACAGAGGAAATAAAACACAACACAAAAGGAGTGACATACACACACACACACACCTGTTGCAGCACAGGAAAGATTAATATGAAGCGTGCTAGAAAGGCAAGTGCCAGGTCTTCTGGCAGGGGAGGGAGAGAGGGTAAGGGGAGAGCTAGAGCTGCAAGCCCTCCCCCCAGCCAAACATAGACACATTCTCTTCCCAAACAGCCATGACACTTCTGCTGCCAGTGGAAGCAAGGAGGTGGGAGCAGTGTCTGCACCTGATTTCCCTGTACCTGCACCACCTCCCCTCAGTCCAGAAATAGGCACCAGCAGCAGAATCACTGTCTCCTCCACCACAATGTCATCTCTCAGTGTGAGCATCTCACTGCCAGAGGAGAAGCTGGAGCTGGAACCAGGGGACCTGAGCACCCTGGCTCAAGCGATTCTGGGGACCAAGGGGAAATCAGAGTTTGTGCTCCACACCCCTCAAAGTTCCCCTAGACCCAGGTCTCCTCCAGAAAGCAGCACCTTGGAGGAGGTTGAAGTTGAGGTTGTGGAGGCAAGTGGCTCAGCTGAGGCAGCTCCTCCTGCTGTTGTACCTCAGCCTGCTGAGGGGTGGGATAAGGCAGCATCTTCACCCTCAACACAGAAGTGGGTGAGTAGCGTAGTGTGGGAGCATTTTGAGCTGGCAGATGATCCCAGGTTTGCTATCTGCCAGCACTGCTGAAGGCACATCAGCTGGGGCAAGGAGGTGAAACACTTCACCACCACAGCAATGCTGCTTCATCTCAGGAGGCAGCACCCCCTTGCCCTTCTTGTTGCTCAGCCTGGCACCAGTGCGAGTGTGCTGGAAAGGAAGTCCCCCGTTCCCCCAAAGCAGAGGCAGGCCAACCTGGAACAGTGGGGGAAAGGTGGACAGAAAGGGGGGCGAGTTGCAAAGGCGAGCAAGATCACCCAGACCATTGGGGCGATGCTTGCTCTGGACAGCCAGCCCTTCTCCCTAGTTGAGCAACTGGGGCTAGATGTCTCATAGCACTTCTGGCCCTTCTGGCCCCATCTTACCAAGTGCCTGAACGCACCACCTTTAGCAGGATGGTGGTGCGCTCCCTATATGAGGCATGCAGGGAGTACTTGAGGGAGGAGCTGTGCAAGGCAGGGCTGCAGGTAACCTTGCACTTCACCTCTGGCATCTGGAGCAGCTGGGGTGGCAATCATGCCTAACTCTCCCTCATAGGGCACTGGTGCAATCA